TTGGGAGCTTGATGGATATTCTACTCCAAATGAAACATTGATGCATTCTGAGACTCAAAAAAATATAGAATTTGGTCAAATTGCTTAAGTGGTTCTATTTTATTTACAACATGATTCTTCTTTTACACAGATAAGGGGAATTGCCAATGCATTGCTCGTAAGGCATTCTCTGGGTTATTGAGATCAGATGTCATGTGTATCACCTGTGGATTTACTTCTACAACTGATGAACCTTGTTTTGATATTTCTCTTGATATGCCAACAAGCAACCTCTCTTTTAAAGGTGTGACAAACAAGTCTGTTGAACCAAATGAGCGGACTTGTTCATCTACTCTTTTTGGTTGCTTGGAGATGTATACAAGGCCGGAGAGGATGGGTTCTGACCAGAACTTTCACTGCCAAAATTGCCGAGGAACGAGTGGCTCTTTAAAGCAAATGTCTATTAAAAGACTCCCCCTGGTGTTGTGTCTACATATCAAGAGATTTAGCCAATGTCTCTCCAGGAGAATAATTTTGAAAAATGGTCAGTATTTGCAGTTCCCTTTCTCATTGGACATGACTGCATATCTTTCATCCTCGACTGTCAGAAACAGGTTTGGCAATAGAATATTTGCTTTCAAGTGTCTCAACTCCGATAGTTCTGTAGCCTATGAGATTTTTGCTGTGGTTTGTCATTCGGGAATTCTTCAAACTGGCCATTATGTGACCTATCTGCGTGTAAAGGACCAGTGGTACAAATGTGACGATCCTTGGATCAATGAAGTTGATGAGGAAACAGTTAGAGCTTCCCAGACTTATATGCTGTTCTATGTGCAAAGAAGGCTGGTTATCAATTTCCAGCGTGTTTCCACACGCATAGCATCTGCAGTTAAGCAGTCTTCCAAGGGATGAACTCCAGGAGAAGCTACAACTTACAAACAGTTCTTTCAAGTAGATCGAGACAGGGAGTTTAAACTTTTTCAGAATGACTGATAATCTGAGATACTGATTCCAGATTCCTACTTCTTTGAACCCCAATCTACCTTTTTACAAGGATATACTCAATCAGCTTCTGCATTTGAACGTGTTGGCCAAAAAACAGTTGATTTTAGGTTTTTTCATCTTGGAAATTTGGAATGCTCTAGCTTTCTCTGTATTACATGTACAGCTTTGTTCTTGATGATCTTTTGGCTGCAGCTCAGTCATGCAATGATGTACATGACGAAATTTTTTTAACACCAGTGTATGAACCTTATTGCTGTTAACAATTTCTGAAGAAATGATGTTTCCTTTCCATCTCTCCACTCTCCATGGATGCATCATTGGAGTCTAAATCATGGTTGTTTCCCAGTCCTGATCGCTTGGATGAAACTATTCGTGCGTCAAATCATTGAGGGTGTTTGTTCAACTGCTAAAGCCTAGTATGATCTAATCTTAATTTTTTTAAAAATTTATATTACTACTTAAATTAAAAATCTCGCACAAAATTCCCAGACTATTGGCCTTGATCTCGATGATGATGTAGCTCTATCCATCTGGTTCAATCTTTTTGGGTAACTTTAGGTGAGTTTAGAACTTAGATTTGTCCACCGTTATTTGTCGTTTTCCGACATCCCGGGAACATCGGACTTGATGCCTTTCATCAGACCCGTTCATTTAACATTGGTAGGCGGCTGCTTGAGTCCCAGAGATCTATATCGCACGTGCCATCTCGCCCACTTGCATGCGGCAAATAGAAACATGCCATGTGTACAAAAGGACGCCAGTTGCTGAATATACAAATAAAGGTCTCAACTTTTGTCAAACCATTCATTTTTCCCGATTGGTAAATTAGATGTTTTTTTTTTTTGAGACCAAAAATAAATTAGAGATTTTTTATGGATTTTGGATTTTAAAACCCTCAAAAAACATTAAATTTGTTATTAACAAAAAAACAGTTTGGATTTGAAAATGGGTTTTACTGTCTGTTTGGTCAAATCTGGAATCTGAAGGTCCTCCTTCTTCCTTGAAACAATCTCTCATTTCTGATCTAGTCTAGACACAGAGCTACAGATATTTCTCTGACATAGATTTTACTCAAAGGGATGTAAGAAATTCCAAACAGAGGGTCTGAGGTTGTTTCTTTGCAGATTTAGACATCTTGGAGAATACCCATTGAGGAAACTCTGCTTGATTGGAAACTGGGTGCTAGCTTCTTCATCACATCAACTTTACAAGGTTCAATTTTTAAGAAAATGCATGTTGGTTTCATGATGTTTGTTTAATGAAATGTTCTTTGTTGTAGACTGAGTTGACTCGGATCATTTCTAGGTTTTATCTTGGCAAAAGTGAGTTATGGTGGAGGAGGAGAACATCGAAGCCCCTATTGAGGGTTTGGAGGAAGAGGATGAACCCCAAGGAGGGATCTTTGAACAATTCTGGGCTCCAATTGGTTGGTTTAAGATGCTTGCCATGGAAATGCATTGGAGCTTTGTGTTTGGAGTGGTGGTTGTTTACGGGATAAGCCAAGGATTGGGAGGAGCTCTGGCTCGGGTTGGGACCGACTATTATATGAAGGATGTTCAACAGGTGCAGCCTTCTGAGGCTCAGATTTATACCGGGATTACTTGGATTCCTTGGATCGTCAAGCCTCTATGGGGAATTCTCACCGATGTTCTCCCCATTTTTGGTTATCGAAGAAGACCTTATTTCATTCTAGCCGGTATATGATACACTCTCTTGCTTTATTTCTCCACATCCCTTTTCATAGTGAATGTCATATTCATTTCAGCATCATATATAAGTGGTAACTTAGCATAAATGGATATTTTCATGTCCCGAGTTGAAAATTTTATAGCATGTCTTTTCAGTATAGATTCTTGAAGTTAGAAGATTAAAGTTTGAGATTCACCATAAATAATAAGAATCAATTAGAGCAAAAATGCTTATTTATGTTATATGATGTGTAATGAAATTATTGTGTTCTGATTGAAAAGAAAATGTTAATTTCAGGTGTGCTTGGTATGGTTTCAATGCTTTTGATATCTTTACATGGGAAGCTCCATATTGTGTTTGCCTTAATGGCGTTGACAGCAGGAAGTGCTGGAGTAGCAATAGCAGACGTGACTGTTGATGCTTGTGTGGCACAGAATAGCATCAGTCATCCTTCTCTTGCAGCTGATATCCAGAGTTTGTGTGCTTTGAGCTCTTCCATTGGAAATTTAGTTGGTTTCTTCATTAGTGGCATCTTTGTTCACCTGATTGGCCCTAAGGTTTGCTGCACCTCATCTCCATTGACATTTCTCCATTCTTTTCACTTGAATTTACATGTTAGAAGGGTTTCTTCCTCTTCCCTGGCAGGGAGTGTTTGGCCTGCTGACAATCCCAGCCGCACTTGTATTTTCAGTTGGAATTCTGCTTGCTGAATTCCACATACCAAATTTTTGTTATAGACAGGTATTGACTCCTCACCTCTTGTTTGTGATTTGAACTATAATTGCTTTTGAATTACCCTCATTTTTTGAAAATACTAAAATGTGCTCTTCTTGTCTCAGGTAAAGCAGATGTTCCTTGATGCCGGAAGGTCTATGTGGACAACATTGAAATTGCCTGATGTCTGGAGACCATGCCTGTATATGTATTTATCTCTTGCTGTCAGCTTGAATGTACATGAGGGATTGTTCTATTGGTACACAGACTCAAAGGGAGGTCCCCATTTCTCTCAGGTATATTTTTCTGCACTTGTATTGTCCTTTAATAGCCAAAGACCACCATGTATCCAGTTATCATAGAACCTAGGATTTTATTTCACATGCTGTATTGATGATTTTAAAGTTTGCTTGACTTAAAAGTCATAAGAAGATCCCAAAGAAATTCAAAGTCATAGTCAAAATGAACAAATCAATATATTTCAACATGAATGAATAACTTAATTCCTTGAAAGTAGAAAAAGGTTGTTGATTTTAAAATATTATTACATTACATGTCTTTTTCTTGGAGGTTTTAGTTTGAAGAACTCCGGTGTAATACTATGTACCATTCATATGCTGTATGCAGGAAACTGTTGGGTATATATCCTCCGTGGGTTCCTTGGGTGCCCTCTTAGGAGCATTACTCTACCAAAATGTGCTGAAGAATCATCCTTTCAGGGACTTGCTTTTCTGGACACAATTGCTGTATGGTTTATCTGGGATGATGGATTTGATCTTGGTGTTGAGATTAAACTTAAAATTTGCCATCCCAGATTACTTCTTTGTTGTGATTGATGAAGGCGTGTCTGGGATGATCAATAGGCTCAAATGGATGCCTCTGCTTGTCCTCAGCTCCAAACTCTGTCCCTCAGGCATTGAAGGCACATTCTTTGCCTTGCTTATGTCAATTGATAACATAGGACTTCTGTCATCATCATGGGGAGGAGGATTCCTACTTCACATGTTGAAGGTTACACGAACAACGTTTGATAATCTCTGGCTAGCAATATTGATCAGGAACATATTGAGAGTCTCTCCACTTTGTCTGTTGTTTTTGATCCCAAGAGGAGATCCAAACTCTACCATACTTCCTATTGAAAGAGTGAGCAGCACCGGTGAGAAGGAATATCTAGAAAATGAAAGCATTGAATTAGTTTCCCTTGTTAACAATGTTGATCCTAGATAGCCAATACAACAATTAATTCTTCATTTACAAACCCAATATGAATACCATTTTAACAATTTATTATTATTATTATTATTGTTTTTGGCAAAAAGGGCAAGTCGGCCCTTATACTCTACGTTTTAACATTGGTTTTTTTTTTTTTTTTTGGGAAATTATTATAAATGATAATTCTCAATTGTAATTGATATGAGTGCTATAAAAGAAGCATTATTTGAACATATATGTATAAAAAATCAAACAATTTATAGTCTGAAAGGTAATGAACTAATGATATGCATGGCTACAACTTTTTGTATTTTATTTGTAATTTTTATATATTATTAAATAAATGAATATATAAAACATCAAGAGTTCATGTTTGGATTAAAAAGAATGGAAGGGAGGAGAATAAAGGAAAATAGGAGTGTGTTTGGTATTAGAAAAGAAGGCTGTTTTTCATTTCAATTTTCTTTCAAAAATGAAAAATTAGTAAGAAACTTATTTGGCATTTAAATGGATTAAATTTAATAAATAGTTTATTAACTATGTGATTTATTTCAATTTAGTTTAAAAATAATTTTTTCTTTCAAAATCATTTATAAATTATCAGTTTTGTTTCAAAATAATTTATTCAAAATAATTTACTTGACAAACATTTCGTTAACTAGACTAACGAAATTCCCCTCCAACTTTTGAAAAATGTTAAATATAATACATATATTTTTATTTATAATATTTTGTTTTTGAAATTCAA